TTGTGTAAGAGATGGAAGGGATGGTCGAACTCGCGGACACTCCCGGAGTCCATAACCAGAACTCTATGCGAATCGATAATTGTGTTCAATCGGTGAGCGATTGTCAATACCGTCGATGACTGGAAGTGCTCTCTAATGGCGGTCTGAATGAGTGAATCTGTTTTGTGGTCCACATTAGCGGTCGCCTCGTCTAAGACAAGGATACGACTCCTCCTCAGTACAGCTCTCGACAGACATATCAGTTGTCTTTGACCTGCGCTTAGATTAGATCCACTTTCGGTCAACTCATAGTCCAGACGTCCGGGCATTTCCAGCACCCAATCCTTGAGCTGCACCTCTGCTAACACTTCCCACAGTCTGTCGTCCGAGTAATCACTAAATGGATCCAAATTATGACGAATGGATCCAATGAATGCAATCGCCTCTTGAGGTATGATTGATATGTTTCGTCTCAAATCGTGAAGAGGTATAGACTTAGTGTCGACGCCATCGATGGTAACGCTTCCAGTGATTTGATGCATACGGAAGAGTACGGCCAGTAATGAGCTCTTCCCGGCACCCGTGCGGCCGACTATACCAACCCTTTCCCCGCCAAAGAACTCACAATTGATGTCAACGAGTGTCGGATCCGTCGCGTTGTCGTACTTCAGACTCACGTGATTGAGACAAATGCGACCCTCGAGTGGCCAATCGGGTGCCGGCGGTCGACACATGTTCGCACTTTCAGACACTTCAGACTCGAGATGACTGTAGTCAAGGATCCGCTCCACAGAAGTCATGTATGTCTCCAAATTAGCTGATCTTCTGACCATTATTTGAAGTCTCAACGATATATTCATCGATACAAACAGAAACAGTCCAGCGGTTCCGCCGTTAATGTCTTATAAATAAAATAATTAATAAATATCAATATTTTGAATATAATTATAATTTAGACAATTTTTAAACTAAACATACCGTCAGAGAAGAACATTAAGAATATTATAGTAAATGTTTCGTAGAATATGTAGATTACTTCCAACAGGAATCCTATTATATCATAAAGTATAGAAAGTTATATTTAATTAATTATCACAATATGATATATTATATTGAGAACATTTTTATTGACAATACATGATAAATTATAATAGTTTATAAGTTAAAATATTTTATACCGAGAGCTCTATTGGTGGCAATATTAGTGAAATAACAAGTCGTGTGATTGTCTTGAAGGCGATTAAAGTCATTAGTAAAGTGTTTCTCAGCTCTTAGAGCCCTAATAGTGACCAAACCATTGATAGTTGTGCTCAAGTGGTCTATCACTGGTGTCCGCACTGTTTGGCAGTAAATATCATTAGAATTAATATTGATTTTAATGACAATTAACTATACATTGATTTTCAAATCGCTTGACATCTCTCGCAGTCTTTATATAAAGCGAACGAATGTATGAAATGATGAAAAACATGAGAATCGCAGGAATTAATGAATACATGTTTACTATTGATATCACTATTANTGCGTTGGATAAGGATTTAGATTCCCTTCCCTTCAGAGACAACACTATTGTCGGCGAAAGAGGAGTCCTTTTGAGTGGCGGACAGAAGGCCAGAGTGGCGTTAGCCCGGTATGGCTCACACCACCCACTCTTACCCACACTTACTCCACAACTCATGTAATGTCTGTTTCCTGTCTTTAGAGCCCTTTATAGCGATGAAGACATCTATCTATTGGACGATCCGTTGAGTGCTGTCGACACTGAAGTCGCGAATCATATCTTTGAAAAGTTTGTTACCATTTATTAAACATTGATTTCAATGATTGTGTGTTTTGTGTGTTTCAGATGTGTTTGTGATTATCTTCGGAGCAAAACAGTGGTATTAATCACACATCAAATCCAATTCATACAAAAAGCCACAAAAATTCTTGTGTTAAACAAAGACGGCGTAAGTCTTGGCTTTGGATCGTATGAAGAGTTACTCGAAGTGGACATCGATTTCATGTCTTTGGTTTGTGATAATCGCTATAATTATGACAACAAACAAAGTCCTAACGTTCATAACGAAGAATCCATTGACAATAAACTGATCCAAAGACAGATTCCTTACACAACTGATGTAAGATATTTTAACATTTGAGTTAAACTAAACATTACATTGAATTTTAAAATAAATCAATGCATTTAGAAAATGAATTAATTTTATTGTTTGATTCAATGTAAGGCTTGTAATTATTGTAAATTGCTTTATAATAATATATGAATTATTAAATTGTTTTTAAGGATAAATCGGAAATTAGGGATCAATTCATACCTGAAGAACATATGGCTAAAGGATCGATAGATATGCGGGTGTATTGGCATTATATAAGGTCTGGTGCGGGACCGACACTATTGCTGGCCATCGTTTTGTCAGCTATTGTTTCGCAGATTATCACCAGTTATAGCGATATATATGTCTCTCAATGGTATTGCATTTAAAATTAATTAAATATTTAAATAAACTTATGTTTTAATTAATAATTTTGTCATAATTATAATTTACACACAATAGGACTAAAAACGAGACCAATTCTAACGTTACTTTTGAAACAAATATTGGGAATCAAACCACAGGGATATTAATTTACTCAACGATAATAACTTTAATATTTGTGACATTTGTCATCAGATCCGTGACATTCTTCCGGATGTCAGTCAACGCGTCAATCAATTTACACAATACTATATTCAGTCGCCTAATGACAGCACCCATTGCTTTCTTTGACATCAATCCTATCGGTATTTTTGTCAATAAATTATATTATATTTATTATAAAACTGTACATGTACACTTTAAAATTTTAATTAAGTTAATCTGAAATTTAATTATATATTTTAGGAAGAATTTTAAATAGATTTACAAAAGATTTGGTTATTATAGACAATCAGTTGTCCGGTTGTTTGTTTTACTTTCATTTCGTAAGTATTTTACAGAATTGAGTCTAAAATTAACAATTATTTCAAATTAGGAGTTGTTATCAATAATCGCGTCATTAATAGTGATATCCATAGTAAACATGTATTCATTAATTCCTGCAATTCTCATGTTTATCATCGTTTCATACATTCGTTCGCTTTATATGAATACTGCGAGAGATGTCAAGCGATTTGAAAATCAATGTATAGTTAATTGTCATTAAAATCAATATTATAAGATTACTATAAATGACGGTTTGTCACGCCTGTGGTGTGATAGACCACTTGAGCACAACTATCAATGGTTTGGTCACTATTAGGGCTCTAAGAGCTGAGAAACACTTTACTAATGACTTTAATCGCCTTCAAGACAATCACACGACTTGTTATTTCACTAATATTGCCGCCAATAGAGCTCTCGGTATAACACATCTCAATAACATTAAAATTGAAAATAATTACAAATTTAATGACAGGACTTGTATTGGAGTTAATATACATATTCTACGAAACATTTGTCGTTATATTCCTTATGCTTTTCACTGACGGTATGTTTAACACAATTATTGTTTCAATTCTTTAATATATTTATTACAATAAAATACTATTTAAAGATATAAGTGGCGGAACCGCTGGACTATTGTTGTTTATAGCTATCAATATGTCATGGTATCTACAAATAATGGTCAGAAGATCAGCTGATTTGGAGACATACATGACTTCTGTGGAGCGGATCCTCGACTACAGTCATCTCGAGTCTGAAGTGTCTGAAAGTGGGGACAGTTGTCGACCGCCGGCACCAGATTGGCCACACGAGGGTCGCATTTGTCTCAATCACGTGAGTCTTAAGTACGACAACGCGACGGATCCGACACTCGTTGACATCAATTGTGAGATCAAAGGCGGGGAAAGGGTTGGTATAGTCGGCCGCACGGGTGCCGGGAAGAGCTCATTACTGGCCGTACTCTTCCGTATGCATCAAATCACTGGAAGCGTTACCATCGATGGCGTCGACACTAAGTCTATACCTCTTCACGACTTGAGACGAAACATATCAATCATACCTCAAGAGGCGATTGCATTCATTGGATCCATTCGTCATAATTTGGATCCATTTAGTGATTACTCGGACGACAGACTGTGGGAAGTGTTAGCAGAGGTGCAGC